CGCCAGAGGAGCGGCAGCGGTGCCACCAGCACGGTGCCAGGTGCCCGGCCAGGAGCCCAGGGAGGCCAGGGGTGGCTCATGAGCTTTTGTAGCTGCGCTCCACCTAGGCAAACACCCCACTTGGCAGCACTCCCCAAACCTCACCTCTGCCTCTTTGCCTTGCCTCGCGTCAGGGGCTCACAAATTCGCAGGGAATGGAACCGTGGGAGGAGTTTAATGATTCCAGGAGGCTGAGCGGAGGTGTGCACTTCAAAGGCAGGCTGGCACCAGCACCAGGAAGGTGTGTCTCTTGCCACACACCTCTCTCCCTCCAGATTACAGCTCAGTGACTCAGCTTCTCTTCTTCTTCTTCTTCCCTTAGGAGGACCACGGCCTCACAACGCTCCTCAGCCTCAGCCAGCCACCAGGTTTGGCTGCCACGTGCTGAGGATGAGCTCTGAGGTGGGTGGGGATCCAGGAGAGAGATGCAGCCACAGGGCAGATGGACAGAAACGTTGCTGACCCCACACATACATGAAATTCCTCTTTTCCCACTGGTACCAGAGGTCTCCATGTCACTGAAGGCTGACAGAGTCATCACAGAGGGTAGGAATTTGGTATTTTTTTTAGAAGGATTCTCTTTTCTAAGGAAACTGGGGCAAGGTGCACAGTGAAACAAAACTTAAAGATAAATATGATAAATCAATGTTAAAGTGCTTGAGTTTTGGGGTTTGCTTTTAGTTTTTCTTTTTTTAGTAACCAAAACCAGTTGATACAACAGAGGGAAAAAAAATAATCTTTTTTTAATTGATCATTTTTTTGAAGGTAAGTATCCAGCAGAAAATCTTTCCCCCTACCTGCACGTAACCTCCACCTCACCTTTTATCCTAGAGGGTATCAAACTAAGTTGCAAAACAGCCCTTCACTGTTGTACCCCAGATAACATAAACCAACACCACGTTTCTCACTCATGAACTCACAAGTTCAGGGCCAGTGTCAGTTCAGCTCAGGACTGAAACAGTTCTTCAGCTCTGTGGGTCCAGATCCTACCTGGCTGTAAATTGTTGGGGTTTTAGATGTTGGTGATAACTTCTCACCAATAAAAAAATTTTAACTCCCTTGAAACATCTATAACCAGGTAGAGTGACCCCAGTGGCACTAGAGACTGACAGAGTAAGAGGATTGCTTCTGCCACTTCCAACACAAGCCCTGAACATACTGATCTGGACAAAAGGGGAGGATATTGGCACTTGCTTTCTATCTCAGGGGTACTCTGGAGTTGCAATACTTGAATATCCCTTTCCCACTTTCCATCTGCTGTAGAATATGCTGTACTTGATTCAGAGAGCTGGCTGGTACCCAAAAACCTGAATGGGAATTTACAGAAGACACACCCAGAAAAGCTTAAAGCCTAATTCAATAACCTCTAAAAGAAGGGGAGGATACACTTCAACAAGTTTTTCTTTTAAGGGTTAGATATTGACACCTCTATGTAAATGAATCCATCTGGCAGATGGGTGTGACAGGAAGAGAACTGACAAATAGCTCAGGGCTCAGGTCCTAGATGTACATGGTGTAAGAAACTTGGAACAGAAGCTGAAAAGTCTGGCTGCTGTTGGGGAGGAAAGCTGGCAACACACCAACGTTCAGGTGAGCTTCAGTTCAATAAAAGAGCTAATAATTTGCATAAAGGTTACACGTCACTTGAATTTTCATATCTGATAAGAATTTAGGTTTCCCAGGGTATGATTTAACCTGAATGCTGGAGACTAGGAACTAATGTTCCTGCACCACGTGGGATTTCTCACTAGCTCCTATCTTGAAATACCAAGGTGTTCACAGGTAGATTTTAGAATCATAGAATCATTTTGTTTGGAAGAGACCTTTGAGATCATCAGATCCAACCATTCCCCCAGCACTGCAAAGTCACCACTAACCCATGTCCCTCAACACAACATCTCTGTGGCTTTTCAGTCCCTCCAGAGACAAGGACTCCACCACTGCCCTGGGCACCCTGGGCCAGTTTTGATATGAGGATGTTTAAACATTTATATTCCTGCTTTTACAATAAAAAAAAAAACAAACAAGATTTTATACCTGAGACAGTTTTTTCTTCTGATGACAATGTATCCCTCCAATAAAAACCATGTTTGGCATCACTGGTCTTGGGAACTCAAAGACAAAGTCATATCTCATCAGCCAAACCGAGGCACGGCTTAGAAGCTCTACGGTTGTCACTTTCTTCTGCAGGATCTCAGAGGCAAGTTCTTCAAATGGAGCAAAGATGGGCTTACAGTAAACAGACTCCAGCAGCCAGACCAGCATGTTCTTCACTCGCTGGGCAAACGTCATGCTGTCTGAATTGTTGATGAAGAGTCTGGGGACGTAGGAGGGGGGTTGTGGACACCGGGTCGCTTCCAAATCGAAACCGCAGGAAAACCCCCGCAGGAAGTAGACGGAAGGGACCGAGAGGTGCTCGGCGATGATCGGCCCGCACATCATGATGGGGTCTGTGAAGATGACATCAAACTTGCCCTCCCTCAAGAACTGCATCACCTCTTGGTTGTGCAGCAGGCTCTTGCAGTTGAGGAGGAAGAAGCGGGTGATGTCCACCATGCTGTGGTACATGGTGATGATGACGTTGAGGACGGATTGCTCGATGAAATGGTTGCTGACAAAGGACTTGATAGCAGCAGCAAACTCCTCCTCCCCGTAAGGTATGGGGTACACTTTCACCCTGTAGCCCTGAGACTCCTCCAGCTTCATGTGAACACTTGTTGAAGGCACAACCACTACAACTTCGTGTCCTTTTTGCTGGAGTTTCTCCACCACTGGGCGCATGCTGAGCCAGTGACTTCCGTCCTGAGGTATCACCAGGATCTTCCCACCTTCAGCAAAGGTTAAATATGAGAGAAGAAGAAGAAATATCCCAGGTCGTTGGTAAATCCATGGAAAGGGAAGAGTCATTTTGGTGGAGGCAGATCAGAGAGTTCTGCTCTGGAGGCATCGGACACAGTCCTTTATGTGGAGGGCTCTGCAATCTTTAACTTTTCCTCAGGGAACTTATTGACTACTGAAATAAATATTTAACTTCCATGGGAGGAGAGCACACTCTTATCAAAAAAAAGATGTCCCCATTTGTACTTTCTGTTAATTTTTAACCTGGGAAGCATGCCAGCATGTTCTTCCCTTTGTGAAACTAAGGCCAGGGACATCATATTGTCATAATAATTGTGCTTAACACCACTGACTTGGGAAGCACCCAGTGGGAAAATAAGCCTGGTGTGGCTTCCAGAAAGCCACCTTTAAAATACACCCAGCAGAAGGAATGGGAATTGCAACACCATTTCTTTTAGGGACTAGCCCTAAAAGAGGGGGACTTGGCAGCTGGATGTGTGTGTCTGTTAATGAAGGTGTAATTGGCTCTGAGGCAGATGCCCATGCAAAGTGGGGACCAGAGGAAACCCAGCCTGAGGCAGCCAGAGCTGCTTCTCTGCTGGTTATCTGGTGAGTAAGTGCAGCTTGTGTTCCCCAAGGCTCAGTCCTGTGGTCGAATGTTCCCTGGAGGTTGTGGATGATGCTAAGGAGGTTTAGGGGATTTGGGATTTAATTCCCAGCTCTGTGCTGGACAGGACCCGTATGCCCAGTTCCCCAGAAGCTCCTCAGTGCCCTCATGCCTTCAGGTGCTCCCCAGGGCTGGGACAGACAGGGCAGGGAGAGGAGCCCTTGGCTGGAATGAAGCCACAGTTCCTCATTTCTCTGCCTCTGGAAAACCAGGGCAAGGGGGCAACAGAAAGATCTGTGGCTTAAAGCCCCTCATCTGAGAAAAGAAACCATGTTTTGAGCCTCTTGTTCTCTCCCCCTCTCCTGGTTGTCCTAACTTTTTGTTTTCTCATCTGTTGAGTAATGTGCTACTGGCTTTTGGAGGACTATCCTTATCATCTGCTTACATTTCTGAAGGGTAATGATCAGCCCAGGGCTTATCACTGTGTTTAGATAGGGAGGTTTTATTCTCTCCCATAAGACTCACTTCCCATTTGTTTACACTCTGCAGCATTAATACCTTGCTGCTGGGCACTGGTCAAAATAGGACAGGAGAAATTCCTCTGCTGTCTTTAGAAAATGTAGCTGGAACAGGTGGAGTGAGGATAGGAGAAACACATGAGGTTTTTCCACATTTTGAAGCTGTGATTTCCACCAAATGATGAATGTCAGTGTGTATAAAACGGCTCTACCCTTGTAGCAAAGGGTAACTTTGCAGCTCTGACACCTTCAAGATAAAGAAGTTGAGATTTATGGGGTGCAACCACAAAGAATTTGCCTCTTCAATATCAAAGTGTCACCCTTTTGAGCCTAGAGTGAAAGAATGCCTGATTTATATTATTCTAATTTAAATTATTATTCTTTGTTTGCCATATTCCTCATGAAGTTCAGTGGACCTTGTGCAAGCCTGTCAGAATATGAAAGAAATCTGGAAGAAGAAAGGGGGGGGAAAAAGCCCTTCAGCTCCAAGACACTTTTTTTAAAGCTTTAAAACCCCTGCAGAACAATTCTGATAAAAGCACATGCCAAGAAATGGATATGAAAACTTGTCTGAGCTTTGCATACAAAAATACACTCTTTTGGATTAACTCTTCCCATTTCAACATGTTGATGTTTCACCAGGATCTACAGACAGAAATGATTTAAGATAGATGGTTTGGAAACATATTTCATGAGAACACAAGGAAAGGAACAGAACTGCTTTTGCTGAGCCTAGGGTAAGAAGCAAAAGGTGACTGTCAGAGCATGGTCTTTGGGTTATGGTCAGAAATAAAAGAAATAAAGAACTTAGACTCCATAGAAATGAAATCAAAACTGCATCTGGTTGGTGACTAATACACATTTGCTGAGGACAGATGTTTGTAGCTGTCAGGTGAAGTCCATTTGTTGCTGGGCTTGTCAGAAAACCCTCATTAATTTAAACCTGTCATCTGCCCAAATCTGGGTGATTTAATTTCTATGGAAACGCACCGAAAACAACAACAGAAAACAACTGCCAGAACCTGGCTGTACCAAATCGTCACCAGAAATCAACTTGAGAAAACCTCAAGAGCACTGAACAGGGAGAAACGACCACACCACAGCTCCTTCCCCTCCACGTGCTCCCTCTCCAAAAGAACATACCTTGGGCAGATGTACCTCGGCTGGCGTGACTCTAGAGGAAAAACAACCCTTCAAAGCAATGAGGTGTTGACTGCAAGCTGGAAAGCAACCTAACCCAAAGGTTTTGTGGCAGTGAGAAGCAGCAGGAGCTGAGCCTGTCACAGAAGAGAGACCGTTTCTGGTGCAGTGAACAGAAATCACAGAAAGGACCAGGTGTGGTCCTGGGTTTGACTCTCTGAACAGAAAGGCAGGGGAGGTTTGAGGCTGCCCAGGTTACTGGGATTTGACCATTAATCTGGGAGCCTTCCTAGACTTTTGTGCCTGCTCTTCTGTGAAATGCTACACGTAAAATTTATGTTAGAGAAGATGTTTTAATTTGACCAAGAGCCAAGCTTGATTTGGAAGGAAAAGAACATACCTTGGGCAGCGGCTTCTTCTGGGCACAGTTTATCCCCCCAATAAAGACCATGTTGGGCATGACCGGCCGGGGGTACTCAAAGACAAAGTCAAACCTGAGGAGCCAGACGGAGGCAGAGCTCAGGAGGTCGAGCAGGGAGACGTCTCTCTGGAGCACCTGGGAGGAGAGCTGGAGGGCGTCCGCGTAGAAGCCGTGGCAGTAGCCCAGCTCCAGGAGGGCGACCAGGGCGTTCTCCAGGCGCTGGAGGAAGGTCATGCGGTCCGAGTTGAAGGTGAAGAGCCTGGGGATGTAGGAGAGGGGGCTGGGGCAGCGCGGGGCCGCGTAGTGGAGCCCGCAGGGGAAGCCCCTCATGAAGAAGACGGCCGGCAGCGAGAGGTGCCTGGCGAGCGTGGCCCCGCAGAGGAAGACGGGGTCGGTGAGGACGGCATCGAAGCCGCTCTGGTTGAGGTGCTGCAGCGTCTCCTGGCTGCGGAACAGGTCCCGGCACTGCGCGAAGAAGGTGCGGAAGACGCGGACGGAGGCGCCGTACAGCGCCAGGGGGCTCCAGGGGAAGGGCAGCTCCTGCAGGTGCGCCCCCACGTACTCCCCGAAGGCGTCGTCCAGCTCTTTGAGGGTCTGAGACACCGGGTGCGTTTTCACGGTGTAGCCCTGGCTTGTGCCCATCTTCCAGCTGACTTCTGGCATGAGCACCACCACCTCGTGGCCTCTCTCGCTCAGCTTCTCCACCACGGGCTGCATGCTGAGCCAGTGGCTCCCCACCATGGGCACCACCAGCAGCTTCCCTCCCTCTGCGAGGCTGGGGAGCAGGAGGATGAAAATCCAGGCGCAGCAAAGCCCCCGAGCCATGTTCCTGTGGCTGGTGGGAGTCTTCTCCTTCAGGCTGTGGTTTGAAGTAGCTTTGGAGAGAAGCTGCTAAGTTTATCTGTTGAATTGTGCTGCCCTGTCATAATCCTCCAGTTAATGATTCCCGGCTCTGGCTTGTAGGTGGCTTGTTTGTTTTCTCATTACGTGTACAGCCAAATGCAGTGACCCTTTCCTTTGCTGAGTCATCAGAATCCCTCAGTGCAGAACCATCTCCTCAGTGTGCCACTCAGATGTTTTAGGCTTTCTCTCTTGGTCGATGACGTGTCTTACACCTTGGCCAGGCCTCGGGAAGGCAAGTCTGGTGTGAGCATCCCAAACCACGGCAACAAATGACAACAGCCTCCAGAAACGTGGTTGTGTTTGGAGACAGGGATGCTCAGGGAGGTTCTGTGAGGGCAGAGCAGGACACCCTCAGGATAAAGGGCATGGGCAGGTGAACCTGCTGCTCTGAGCTGGCAGGAATCTCTGTGGTCTACAATGACTTCAGGAGGAGCCCCGGGGGGAGGCCGACCTGGCAGCTGAGGAGGCTGGAGCCCAGGTTCTGGGTTCAGAGCAGGACTGCAGTTGTTGCACAGACTATGGCACGGCCCTCAAGGGAAAGCAGGCCCAGGATGGTGGTTAATCTGTACCTTAGAGGTGCTTCTGAGCGTGCGAGAGCTTGCCAGCAGCTCCTCCATTGGCTGCATTCTCTGGCGGGGGTTCTGGGTGGGTTAAAGTTTGCTAGGTTCAAGGGAGGGTGAGGTGAGAGGTGTTTACTCCCCACACGTGGCTGCCTGCACGGGAAGATTGTGTGAACTCTGGCCTGGGCGAGGAGCCGTGTGGCTGGGGGAGGAATGGACAACCTCACGGGCGAGGGGCTGTGCTGGAGGGAGCAGGGACAGGGTCAGCATGGCTGCTGCTTGCTCTGGGGCCCCACTGGCACTGTGTGCGGTCACGGTGCTCCACTGTGGGGCTCAGTGCTGGTACCTAGAGAGGTGCCAGCTGGGCCGCTCTAAAGGTGCCATTTGGGTCATTCTAGGCTCGGTGGCAGCGTTAGGAGGGCAGCTGCCAACACCTCCTTGCTTCAAAGTGGGAGCTGGTCTTCTGTTCCTGGCCAGGCTCCTCCATATTTGCAATCCCAACACCGATACTATCCTTGATCTGCACCAGATGGGGCCTCAGGGAGGGAAGTGGACTAGAAGGGACACGAGGAGTAGACCCACCCTCTGTGAGGGCTGTTCCTTGCAGCTAAGAAGCCCTTGTGCTACAGGGCTGGTACATTGAACTGCATCCCTGTCTGTTCTCCAGAAGGCTTCAGCAGAGCCTGTCCCTGGTGCTGTGTCTTGGTTTGAGCTAGAACACAACCCTTTCTCTGTTCAGTGATGTGACTGTCCAGCTCAGTCTGAGCGATGGCACTGCCTGAGGTTAGTGGCAGATTGTTGCAGAGTCTCTGCTGCCAACAGCGACAACACTCCATGGCCAGAGGGACTGCCAAGGGTCAGGGTTTGCAGACAGGCTCTTGCTCAGACCTGCTCCTGAGCAGACCAAGCTCACTGCTCGACCTTGTGCCCCACGTTGGGGTGCACCTGAAGGGAGGAGCAGCCAGGACAGGTGACCCCAGACTGACCAAGGAGGGATTCCATCCCAGTGTGAAGCTGGGGGGTCACCAGGGTAAATCTCTATGGCTAGTGTTTGAGGAGGACTTTGTCGGTGCGTTGCTGGATCCAGTTTCTGACCCCTGCTGAGTCCAGTCTGGGACCTCCACAGCGTGGGTGGTGAGGTGACAAGGAGCCCTCACCTCAAAGGCTGTCACAGAGAGAGAGGTGCTGGCCTGTCCCCACAGGTACCTGGTGATACCACAGGTACCTGGTCATACCACAGGAGGAATGACCTCAGCTGCCCTCTGAACCAGGCCAGGGTTGGGCTGCTGCCCCCCGG